AAACAATCAAGATTATTCTACATGATCCCACTAATAATGTCATTCTTGCTTGCATTATGATAGGCTTTCTTTAATGGAAGAAGTGAATAAAGTTACAGCTAGAACTGAAGGGGGGAAGGCAGTGCATCTCATATATGCCTGCCATCGTCAAAGTGTTGAACACATGAGGTTGAAAACCATTATATTAGGGCTATAAACCTTACCAACTAATATGTATCTACACACTTTGAGATGTTGTCTGCTTTTGTTCATTATGGTATTTTCAGCATTTAATGTAATCCTATATATTTATAAACATGTGCAATAAATATTTGCTTTTGTTTTTGGTGATAGCCATCTGAATGTTAAATAAAATATCTCAAGATTTTGAAATCAAGACATCTGAAACAGAACTTTGAATACGAAGTACATTAAAAATTTTTTAAATTGTTTGATTTTCTTAGCAAACCTTTTTCTCTCCTCTCCTCTCCCTTCCCTTCTCTTCCCTACCCTTTCATTTTCTTTCCTCTTTCCAAAAATAAAGCATTTGTTATATGTCAGGTGAATGCAATGGACTGAATGTTTATGTTCCCTCCAAATCCATATGTTGAAATCCTAATTGGTAAGGTGATGGTATTAGGAAGTGGGGCCTTTGAGAAGTGAGGTCATGAGGGTAGAGCCCTTATTAATGGGACTATTGTCCTTATGTAAGAGGCTCTGGAGAAATTCCTTGCCCTTTCAGCAAGGTGAGGACACAGTGAAAAGACAGCTGTCTAGGAGGTGGGTCCTCACCAGTCACCAAATCTGCTGGCCCCATGATCTTGGACTTCCCAGACTCCAGAACTGTGAGAAATAAATGTTTGTTATTTATAATGCACCTTGTCTCTAGTATTTTTTACAGCCGCCTGAACAGACTAAGACAAATGACAATTTATAAATGTCTACTGGAAATCATCAGATAAAGAAAAACTCCAGAACAGTCATAGAACTATATATCTATGGAATTTGGAACCAGTTAGGGCAACAAGGAATACCAATAGCTTCAGATGGCATCTTTGTATATGCGAGTACAACTGAGGTTTATATGAATGCTATGAACGAAAAAAGACAAATTGCAGTTGATATATACTCTTTTAAAAGGCATGAAAATACTGAATATGTTTTTTTTTAATATTTGTTTATTTTTGAAAGAGAGAGACAGACAGATGATGTGTGGGGAAGGGACAGAAAGACAGGGAGACACAGAATCCTAAACAGGCTCTGGGCCCCAAGCTGTCAGCGTGAAGCCTGATGTGGGGCTTGGACCCACAAACCATGAGATCGTGACCTGAGCTGAAGTCGGATGCTTACCCGACTGAGTCACCCAGGAGCCCCTGAATATGTTTTAAATGTCCACTTAAAATATCAAAATAAAAGCCTGGCGTGGTGCTTAAAAGGTTGAACTGTAGTCTTGGGGAAAATTCACTATATTGAAACATCTCATTTCCTGACAATATCAGATAGGAGATTCCTAAGTAGAATTATTTGGTAACTACTACCTGGCCAACCTTATGCTTTTCTGAATATGTTTAAGATAGAACAGAAAAGGGTTTGCAGTGTAGGAGGGGAGGCTGAAGGAACACATACGACGTTGTAGAATAACATAAAAGTACATGTAAGTAAATACTAGGAGAAGAATGAAAAGAGTGGTGCATCTTATCTGAAGAATCTGAGGGTGACATCCTAAAGAAGTGCAGTCAGAGGATGAATTCAATTTGGAGAAAAGGAGGGAGGGCAGGAAAGCTTCTCAGGAAGATAGAGGAGGCCACAGAAAAGCTGGCTGTGGGGTCAAGTGCGGCCTGAAGGGGTTGTGGAAAATAGGGTCAGAGATTATAAAGTAAAATTAGGAAGGCCTAATGGACTATTCTCCTAATGTACTACCTTCTTTATTCACAGTATCACTTATCTTGAAGAGAGACTACAGTTATTGCTTGTTCTAGAGGCATTTTTAATCTTTAATGATAGAACCCATTACTTTAAAAGAGAGAGAGAGAGAAAGTAAAACTGGCTTCTTTTAAGTCAGCTTGGTGACAAAACCCCCAACTCTAGAGTTTCCATTTTATTCTGATATCTAACATGAAATGTAAGATCTTCTTGATTACTAGGATCCTATAATCATGCTACTTTCTTTCCTTTTATCCATATGCCATGTCATCTTAAGATCTCTTACCATGGAACTTGAACCGGTAGAACATCTAACCATTGTAGGTTCTGGTACCTTCCACCCCCCTCTCTGTAGGCCCTTATAGAATAGCAGCCATCTGATTAAAGCCCAGGCTCTAGGCAAAATTGATGGCATTTGAATCCTGTTTCTGCCAGATGACTTTGGGCAAATTACCTAAATTCTCTGATTCTGTTTCTTCATTTTAAATTAAAAATGAGGACAGCAATAATATTTGCCTGAAAGGATTATGAGTATTAAATAAATTAGTGCAGATAAAGCACTTCAAATAGCACCTGGCATGTGCTAAGTGTTATATAAGGGTAGGCTATTAATATTATCTCTAACAGGGAGAAAAAAATGTACACCTAACATTTAGTGTAACTATACTGCCCACATAAACATATTAAAGTTTTTGATTATTTCAAATTTAAGTTGCATTTTAAGTGATACTTGAAATAGCAATTTAGCTTGAAAAGGACCCCAAGGATCTTTTAACACAGTTTCTTTTCTAATGCCATAGCAAAAGGCCTGGCATGGAGTAGATGTACTATCTACTCAATAAATATGCACTATGTCAATGAGTGACATTCTGAAATGCTAAACAGAAAAGATAAACTGGTAATTATTATACTAAGTAGTGGTTAAGCTGAGTGCTTTGGGAACACAAAGATGAGTCTAGACCCTCTGTGGATAGAAATAAAGTTTACTTTATCACCTAGTGTTCTGATTGGTATCAAAATATTCCAAATAGGCAGAGAGCCTAGTAAATTCAGATTAAGAACGTACATCTTCAAGTCTTTTGAAGTCTAGCTTAAAAAAAATAATAGCTCTCTGAGTAGTTATCATGTACTGGCCTTACAATGAGCTCTTCTAAAGAATTAATTCATCTAAAATTCACAAGAAGAAAGTTCTCTTCCTGCCAAGTTGATAAACTGAGTAAGTAGCAGAGCCAGGGTTTGAACCCAAGGCTGCCAAGTGCATGCTTGAAATTACTATGCCAAGTGAAGTTCTGGATTGATTATTCACTAGAAATACTGTCTTGTTTTCCTTTTGTATAATTTGAAGAAATAGAGAAATTTACTTCATTAATGATATTGATTCAGGTTCCACTCTGGGACTTTGTAAACGGTAACACAAAATGTAATTTCTAAGTTTCCCTTTGACGCTGCAAGGATGAGTGCATCACAAGATGTCTCGCTGGTCAGCACTGTTCTCTGACTGAAAGTGCTTTCACATCCACATCTTCATTTGCTTTTTCCCCTAGTGGGTATAGAAAACTACTTGAATAATGCATACTACTTTCCATATTCCTTCAACAGAACACCACATACTTCAATCATTAAGATGGATTCCTAGTATGGACTCAGAATTTAAGCAAAAGAAAGAAAACCTCATTTGTAAGTGCCTGGTATAATATTCAGTGTCTAAATGTATTATATAAATGCAAAAACATATTAAAAATCTAATGTTCATCAAACAAAGTCTTTCAAATAAGAAAGTAGAGTACTCAAGTTCTCTCTTGCATTTAAACAACTTCGTTTTCAGGCTACCTTCACAAACGGAGTTGAACGCAGGAAGGCCATCTAGCTATGCTGCTGCCTCCCCTTAGATATTAACAGATGTGGAGATCAGGCCACTGTCTCCCTCTACCTTCACCACTACCCACCATGACCATTATCCTCTATCATTCTGGAGATAACCTCTTTTATGCTTTTTTTTTTTCAAGTCCTTTTCTTTACATATATCCCCACTATTGACAATAAACCACAATGATGGATCATTAGGTTGCCACTAATGTTTTCTAGTCACTTCTGTATTCTTCCAAATCAGAGGATATAACTGGCTCCACCAGGAAATGAAATAGAGGTCATTACAGCAGCAGTGACTTTCAAGCTATCTGCTAAATTTAGCTGTCCAATACTTTCCACTCTAATGAAAACTGTGAACTACAATTATAGAATGCTGGAACAGAACAGGAGCTTAAAGGTCACCGAGTCCGATCTCATCGTTTTTCTGATGAAGGTTTGGGGGGCCTAGACATAGCCTGTGATTTGCCTCAGGGCACAGAGCTTATTAATGGTAGAGATGGAACTTGAACTAAAATCTGCTCAGTCCGGGATGACAGTGTCCTTACTATACCACAGATAGTCTGCTTCCCATGGTCAGTCTTACCTAACCAGATCTCACAGCGTAAATATACCTGATATTATTGGTTGTGGCTTACTGTCTGTGACCATTCATCAGTTTGGTGGCTGAATGTGAAATGGCAAAGGTGTCTGACTTACAAGTTGCTACAAGAGAAATGAAATGATTTCATACCCAAACCCTTCCCCCAACCGTATAAACTTCCTGCTTTATGTTCATCAATAATGAATGGCCCATCCCTGCAATACTCAGAGGGAGCTTACATTGCACTTTTGAGCAGCCGGTTAGTAATGTACAGTGGATAGAGCCTTTCTTTCAAATCCCAGGGCAGCGGGTCCTTCAAGGCTAGCATTGCATTTTCAATTAGCTGCTGAGTGAATGCTTGGCATGTGTATTAGTGAAGAAGCACACAATTAGCTTATTGTTCCTTTCTGTATTGTGCTGAAAGGTTCCAAGGGATTGGTGGGGGAACAGGCAAGCCAGCCATCACTGCGGAGTTGAAGAAGGGATTTACTCAGACCTCTGCATCTTCACTTGCTCGCTCTGGAATTACAGCTATTTATTACGAAGTGCCCTGTGTGGCTGGGTGGAGTGTGCCTGAGGAAAGACATCCCAGACATCACCTGGGGTTAGTCTTTCTGAGCCCTTCACGTCTCTAATTCTCATCATTATCATGGAGCCCAACAGTCCCAAAAAGATACAATTTGCTGTGCCTTTATTCCAGAGTCAGATTGCTCCTGAAGCAGCAGAGCAGGTAGGTGGGGTTGGGTGGGGACCAGTTCCTGTATCTAAGGTAACATGGACACAGGTTCTTATTAACCGAAAGCTTTTCTGCTTCTTGAATCTGCCTTGTTGTGATGTTCCATGCTATGTGAACGAGAAATAAGTTGGTTTCCATATGGCACTTGTATTTGAGTTGCATTGGGTGACCTATTGGCTAAAATGCAGCACTTCGTGTGATAAAAAATTAGCCCCAGTTAAGGAGAAAAATGCTTATATTAGTGATTCAGATTTGGATCCAGAAATCTGTTTGCTTTTGCTTACTAAATTAACATGTTTAACATTCAGAGAAACTTTAAAAATTCTCAGAATTAGCAATCTTTTATTTCATTATTTATAAAATAAAAAAGATTCATTTAACAATGAAAACATTAAACCTTGGAATAATTTCAGATTATAGGGTTAATATTTTTTAAAGACTTTTCATTATATATTCAAAGCAGTAATTATATGTAATACACGATAGACAGGATTTGTAGGTGTATGTATAATTTAACACATTTTATTCAGATATTAAATAGTAGCAAACATTTACCAGATTCCTTTTCTATGTCTAATATATCTATGTATCTATATTTCTATATTTCTCTGTTTCTCTCTTTCCTGTAAGATTGATTTACATGTATCACCTTTCATATTCGGATTTACTTAGACTCTTGATGCAATGGAACCACTTAAAAGACCATTTGTGGTAAAATTACAACAGTAGGGGGGCAAAAGCAGATACAATTTATGGGGTCATCAATCTAATTCATTAATTTCTTAAAGTCTAAATTATCCCTGAATCCTTTTACAAATACTTTATACAAAGTCTTAAAAATGATTACTGAATCTGGGGCTCATAACTTTCTAGGATATTTTGATAACCTGAAGTAGATCATCCCAGATAAACATAACCTTGAACATCTATCTATGTTGAATGGGACATTGGTTCTGTCCTGGACAAAATGTCATTGGTAAATTTTATCTTCTGTTCTACTGACATAGACTTTAAGAGTTTACCTGTATATTTAAGAAATCAAGAGCACGTTAGAAATTCTAATCTTAATATGCTTCTGTAACTCTTAACTAAGAAAAAAACCTACATCAAACCTATTAGTTTTAAATTAATTACTCTCATAAAATCCATACTCATTCTTTATTTGTCCTAAATATTTTACTAGAAAATAAGAAAGCCTTATTAATTGAAATTAAGAACTAATGCTGTTAAATTTAACCTGCTAGAAATTTAAGTTTTGCAAGTGTCTTTACTCTGCTTAAGAATAAGGACAATGAATCTCGAAAGCATCATCAATACTATGAGGCTCCAAGAGAGCCACTGAAAGTCATCCTCCTACCTACACTGCATACTATTCTAGTGGCATCACTGGATCACATACAACTATTTCTTTTCTGTGGAAAGGTACCTTTTTAGACCAAAGAAGGTAATACTACAACCTGACGGTTCTATTATCTGTCTTTCTATAATTCCCAATAGTGAGAACCTACTGTGTGCTCTCCCCAAGTTTGCTTTTTTTTTATATATATATTGGGAAAAGATGAGGATGGAATAGCTTTGCAAGCTGTAGAGTAACCGGGGGCAGTGTCTGATTCTCACTGACCTCAGCTGGGCCTTTTTTGTTTACAGATCAGAAAAAGAAGACCTACACCAGCATCACTTGTGATTCTCAATGAACATAATCCCCCAGGTAAAGAAGCATGATGTCTTTTGCACTGATGGGACAGAACAGAATTGTTTGAAGAACATGAAAGAGTGTGTCATTGCCAAAAGATTTCAATTTAGGATTTCAGCCAATTATAATCTAACAAGCTAGTCTATAAAATGGATCATAAGCAAAATCAGAAATAAATATAGGAACTATCTCAGTCAACAGTCTGCTTTTCCTCTAGATAATGACACATTTGTGATGATATGCTATAAAGTGTTTTGTTGTTTATGTAGAGTCTGGTTCAGTGCTTATTAATGCGGCTGGTGGAAAGTTGTTTAATTAGGTTTCAAAGCTCAATTTACAGTCCAAGAGATGCTTCTATCTTTACAGAGTAGGTTTTTTATTTATGAAAGGTTGTCATGGGCTGGGCAATGAGCTAGCACTGGCTACAGCTTTGTTTCTGATGTCATGTCTGAATAATGCAATTGACAAGTAACCAGATCAATTTTCAGCACTGCCCATTTGAGAGCCATTCTGAAGGGTTGCATCCATTTGTTGAGGTTTTGCATTCTATTTCCTGTAAAAAAGTAAAGCTGCCTTATTCCTGATAAATGACTGTGATCTTCAAGATGCAAACATTATTAGTTACTTACTGAACGGACATGATTTTAATCACACATTTAAGTGCTGTTTCTAGAAATGCAAACAAGACAGCAGAGGTCATGGCATTAATTTGTACACAGGCAGGACTTGGTGTTGGGTTTTTGCAGGTCTAAATAATACAGGTGGACAAACGGAGTTTGAAGAGTAGAAACATAATAAGTCTAAGCTCAGTTATTTTAAGAATACCAAGGCAAAACAGTCTTTGATTTTTTTCAGATTCCTTTCTAATTAGAGAAGCATACATATGAAAGTGAAGCTGGAATAGAATATATATCATTGAGCCTAAATACAAGAAGGTCTTCAGCTAATGGGAAACCAAAGCAAAAATATTACTGATGAAAATAGGATTTTTTTTTTCTATTTCTTCTTCCTTAAGGTGCTATAGCACTTAAAAATTATTTTCAGGGGTGGCTGGGTGGCTCAGTCAGTTAAGCGTCCAACTCTTGGTTTTGCCTCAGGTCAGGATCTCACAGTTTCATGTGTTCAAGCTCCACATCAGGCTCTGCATGGGCAGTGTGGAGCCTGCTTGGGATTCTGTCTCTCTCTCTCTCTCTGCCCCTCCCGCACTTGCTCTCTATTTCTCAAAATAAATAAACTTACAAAAATTATTTTCAAATATATTATCTCACTTAATAAATGTTAACTTATTTTGGTTTAATAAGAGGTGCAAATAGTTTGCATTTATAGTTCATAAATAAATACAAGGAAGTCAACATAATACTAAAATCTCAGATTGAAGGTAATTTTACAGCAAGTTTCCACCACTGTCTTTGCTTACAGTGGCAATTTTTCCACAATGTCCTAGAACTTAACTCCGTAGTCATCCTTAAAAGGTACTGCCCAGCTTGATTTTTAAGTGTTCTGCTACGGGTATTGCTACTGTTTGAACATAGTGAAGCCACGTAAACGACCCTTGTGGCTCTCATTCAAGCCCCCAGAATAGGAATTCATGTTTTTTAAAAGCCAAATATGTGCCATTTACAGATGAGGACAGTAAGTACCAGAGAGGTAAAGTAATTTCTGCGGAAGTTACTCCACTATAAGAGTCAGATTATACAGACAAACTCAGATAAAGGTCATTCTAAAGCCCATGCATTTTCTACTACATGATGCTGGCCCTACAAATTTCAGTTTGCATTTCAGTATGAATTCTCTGTAAATGGGACCAGACTTGAGGCCCTATTGACAAGCGAACCTAAACTTTAAACAAATCTGTCTAGACCACTACATTTAGCAGATTAGAATTATACTTAAATATCCCTGTGAATCATATTTAGATTTTCTCTAGAATTTTTTTTCTTACCAGATCTCCTAATCACGAGATGGCATTGTCCTATTTCCCTTATTGACTCCATACTTCTCCACGTTTTTAAGCAGCATTGGAAAGAACTTAGATGCAAATAGCATCGCACCGAGAACCAAGTCATTTTAGTAATGTCATCTCCTTGCATCTTCAACCTTTTGGAAATCAGAACAGTTTAGAAGAGACCCATCAGCCTATGCCTGTGTATAGCAATGTGTATGGCAAGCAGAGATTTTTGGACTTGGGTTCCTGCAGGAAAAAAAAATCACTTATATAGCTTCCCCAGTAAAAATGATCTAGAACCATGATTACTAAAGAAATAAATCTAAGGACCTAACAAAACAATGGCAACAAAAGAACAAATACCACATTGAACCAAACCAAACTTGGATACTAATCTTTATTATCCATGTGGTCTTGGTTGGGTAAGGGACAACATCTCCAAACTTTATGGTCTCATCTATAAAACAGAGATAATATTCATCCTTTCTACTTAACAAGGTTGTTGTAATGATTGAAAGACTTATTGTGAACACACCTTAAAAACTGCAAAGTGCAACAAATATTAGGTGTTATTAGTTGATGTGCTCTGGGATACAACCTTTGCATGGGATATTTAAAAGTTAAGAATAGAATTTTCATAATCTCCTCTATACTAAATATCTCTGCCCAACCCAACAATTCTTTATGTTCCAAATATTATCTGACCATTCCCTATCAAACAAAACAAAGCAAAATAACAGCAACAACAAAAACCTCAAGTGTTAAATGACCTTCCTAAAGCAATTGTTTCTTTTAGCCCTAAAAAGCAATATGTGCTGTGACAAATACAAATTGTGCGCAGCACTAAATCCTGGTAAGATAAACAAATCTCTTCAATTTTACTGAGATTCCCCAGGAAGTAACTGAATGTTCTTGGAATCATCTGTCATTAATGCTGTCTAAAATTAAAATCCCCCAAAATCTTTATTTCCAATTAATGTAGCAAAGAAAATTAAATTTTCCATTAGAGAGACATAATTAACAAACCCTCCCAATTCATATAATGAGACAGGTATATTATAATCACTGTTAAATGAATTAAACTAACTTCCTTTTTTTTTTCATCTTTCCCGGAGTTTGCAGAAATAGTTAAAAAGTATTTGAAACAATTATTTGCTTTTTTTTTTTAAACGTTTATTTATTTTTGAGACAGAGAAAGACAGAGCATGAACAGGGGAGGGGCAGAGAGGCAGACACAGAATCTGAAACAGGCTCCAGGCCCTGAGCTGTCAGCACAGAGCCTGACACGGGGCTCGAACTCACGGACTGTGAGATCATGACCTGAGCCGAAGTCGGACGCTTAACCGACCAAGCCACCCAGGCGCCCCACAATTATTTGCTTTTTAAAAAATTTTTATTTATTTTGAGAGAGAGAGACAGAGAGAGAGAAAGTGCATGAGCAAGGCAGGGCAGAGAGAGAGGGAGAGAGAAAGAATCCCAAGTAGACTCCACACTGTCAGCATAGAGCCCAACACAGGGCTCAATTTCATGAACCTTGAGATCATGACCTGAGCCAAAATCAAGAGTAGGACACTTAACTGACTGAGCCACTCGATGTCCCTGATTTGCTTTTAGATTCAGAAAAACACATGCATTGTTTATATCTGATAAAGGGGAAATAGAAGAGAAAGATATTTGAACATGTAAATCCAGATTGTTGGTTTGCTAGTTCATCTATGCTGGTCAAAACACATAGATGAGGTAGGCATGTGATTGGTAGGATTTCAGGCACAGCAAAATGTCTCCTTAGTCCTTTTCTAACCAATGGCCCAGAATTCTCAGCAGTGAAGCACTATGGAAACAGACACATAACCTATTTAGGATATGTCATCTTTGGGCATACATAAACCATAATTTAACTCAAAATAATGGGAAATATCACTAAAAAATGTGCGTTGAAGTCATCATGCCTGAAACAATTTAATAACAAAGGGGTGTGTCTTTATGATAAAGGGAGCAGAAACTATGCATTTGCTGCTAGGAATGACTCTGAAGAGCCAGATGGCAGTAAAAAGATACCTGAAGCTTAAAATGTAAAGTAGAAAAGCACCAAAGACAAATTTCATTTTTCCAAATGTTTTCTGGGGCTGCTAGTGTGAATGACCTTGCAACAAACTGTTTATTTCTCTCCATTTTCAGCTCACCTTCCGATTAAGGGAATATTTATGATGAGCTCTCAGAGGCTATACAGCAGAGCTTCATTGCTCTTATACTGTGTGCTGTTTGCTTTTACTCTTGTATAATCTGTAGTTGACTGGTTTGGTTTCTATGTTTTTACTTAAAGGAATACACACAAATCCTCTCCATTTAGAAGTAAATGGCAATGCCATTTTCTGCAATTTATTTCATCACATTTCTAGATTTACTTAAACATTACTTTAAGTAGACCTATGACAAAACTGTATATTTGGCTACCACAATCAGAAATCTAGAATTGAAAAGAACTTCAGAAAATACCTAATCTAACCACACATCTTTGTGAAAGATGCATAAATCAACCCAAGTCCCTGAGACTTGTTTTATTTTATATATGTCAAGGAAAAATCTATAATTACCCCTACTTTTCAATTCCAGATCCAATAATTTTAGATGTTAGAAAATAGTTTCATCAAACATGAGTAATACCCCCACTTTATTCTAAAATAACTCCTTGTTCATGCTCTTCAATAAAAGTTTATTTACTCACTTCTTTAAATACACAAAAGAATTCTTCATTATTTTCTTTCCTAAATTGAATACTTTCAGTCCCTATAAGGGCCTTAATGAATTCTACCCAAATTGTCCTTGTCTTTCGGCCTTTGGAGCCAGAGCTGGACATGGTCTTCCAGTAAAAAGCCATCCTAGGCCTTCTGAATATTAAAGTTTGTGGCATTCATTCTCTCCCATTTACTTTAACCAGAGACAATATAGATACAATTAAACTTAACGGATCTGATGCCTATTATGCATGAGTGAACCATAAGAGGTCTGGAGCTTAGTGAAGGTTTGGATAAGTACCCAAGGGTTTTGGCATCATTTAAAAGTTTGTTGT